CATTGAAATCCACCTGTTCATGTGTGTACAAAACAGACATTGGTTGCTGTAAATTTCACATATTTCAGTTTGTATATCTTTGTGATTCTTAACAAGTTTTACAGCAGCTTTAATGAAGCGTTTAATTTCACTCTAGTTTACTGATTCTTGACTATCAATTTTAAATGCAGTGTCTCGAGTAGCCCTTGTTTTCCAGCTTCTCACAATGGAACTATGTGATGAAAAGTGGTCACATAAACTGTTATCAACTCATTGAAGATTCAATAATTAGAGAAAGTCAATCCTAATTGCATATGTTTTCTATGTTGTATGTTATCGAGCTGATGACATTATTTATTGAACGTCCCTCGTATAGTAGGTAGCTCCTCTGCGTCAAAAGGTATATAAATAATAATTAATTTCATTACAACATGTATTGGTAACAATCCTCTGTTAAAACTAATGTCCAAATAACTGTATCTCACTTCTATTCTCAATGACCGTGTAGTGTAGGGCAGCGCCGCGAGAATTCCATCGGCATCGAAAGCAAGTTTTTGACTTGCCTAGATAGCCGAGCGGTCTAGCGCGCTGTTCCTGCACTGCTAGGAGACAGATTCCGAAGGTCGAGAGTTCAATCCTTGTCTGGGGCGGAAGTGGGTATCCATGTAAAAGTGAATTTCTTTGTGCTTTCTATATATATATATATATATATATATATTCATTTAGCTCTTTTTATACCCCTTAAAGCGGGGATACTTGCCCAACATGACACCTGATCCCACAAATGGTGATTTTTAGAGGTTCATGTTTGCTCTGTTCCCGATTGTATTGTTTAAATTGATAACAGTTCATTATCTCCATATTTGATTTCATAAGGTGAATCAAAATATGGTATTTGCATTCTTAATAAGTGTGCGCAGATTTGAATATGTGCTTACTGAATGTGCTTTATATGAATAAATGTAAAAAGAACATTTAGCGAGCTACTTGATTTAGCGGATGATGCTTTCGTGATAGGTACTTTGTAAATAAAACAATGAAAAAATATGTTATATAGATAAGATATAACTTGATCTGTGTGCAGTATTATTTCAAATTCAAATGGTTATTGTAAACACTTCCATTTGGCTGCATATTTTGTAAAGTCCCCTTCTCGGAGAGCATCTTCCGATAAATCAAGTATATCGCTAATGTCCTATTTACATGATGTTCCAGTTTACTGAAGTACAGGTATGAAGAAAACAAGAAATTCGTCAAATACTTATAATTGAACTAGGCATTTGTATCAACACTCTCCACAAATCGGGTATTAAGTAAATTAATTCACTGACCATGAATAGAAACCACATATGTACAGAAGAACTCAAAATTAGCAATTATTATGTTTGGTGAATCTGGATAGAATGCAAAAATTGGCCATTATAATACCGCGGTATTCCTGCCAAAAATAAAGGTTATAAGGTACATGCATCTGAATATTTCAGAATAGAAAATCTTTGATGGCAAACTTACAGTTTAAACTTTGTGATAAACTTGATGACGTCAATTTTATTTGTGTCGCAATATATTTTCATCGCCTGCGAGGTAATTATATTGCCCAGTTGATTCTATATGCAAGAACAAATTCTTGAAGTACTAGTATTTCAAAACTCAAACACGCTACTGAAGTTGTTTCAACTGACAAGGATAGCATCAATCCTCTTTTTGGTCAACATTTGGTTAATATAATATTCAATGTGATGGCCTTGTTTGCTATTGCAAGTTGGCGTTCGGGCGGATGGTGAATGATGAATTGTCTATCTAGCTACGGTTTACCCAAACAAGACATGGGCTTTGGGCGGTCATGACATCTCGACAAAAGGTATTCACTACTTCCTGGCTCTTGATCCCATCTCTAATATTTTCTCTGAAATGAATTTCAGACATGATTAATCCACGTTTCCTGTATCTTATGGTAATATATGAATAAGTGACAGCATGTTATTACCTGTAGTATTTTGAGTTACATCAATATTAACTGTATTTGAGTCATTTTTAAAATTGAACTTTCTGAAGATACAATTTTGCACAATTGCGGATCAACCATTCATTTTTTGCACAAGATGATGTGGCTATTGTGTAAAATATAAGGAGTTTTAGGAACCAGGCTTTTGTTAATTGAAAAATGCTCTCTTCAACCTTTATTTGAACCAAATAATGAAACTGAAAATTTTAAAACCGTATTGCACATCTCTAAGACACCATCGATGATCTTGCAAAAGATGAAAGGACACTGTGTAGCATGTAAAATAAGTTTTGGAAATCAGTCTTTTGTAAAATGAAAAAACAACAATGTTTTCGACCCCCATTTTGTCCCGAGAGTGAAAAAAAAATTAAAATTCCGAAATCTTAATGCATATCTACAGAACACCACCAACCAGATGATTTGACTTCTGCTTAAAATATTTTCGTTTGGTCCTCATGGTAAAAATGAAAACTCTGAAACCTACAGGACACCATTTGTCATATTCCAAAAGATGAATAGGTTACCTCTTTAAAAATTGTAAGAAGAATTACAGGAAAGAGAAAAAGTGATAGACGGCCTTGGTGACAAGATAAGAATATACCCAAACTTTCTTTATTTTTTTCTATTTAATGGTTCTACTTACAATGTATAAATTTTCCATAGTTCCACTAAAACCTACTGGTAATGTATTTTAGGATTATAATTTTGTGAATGTTGTCTTGGCCAATCTTACAGCCTAAAATTTTAGTCAAATGGAGAAACCAGTTTTCCTAGGACTTAATCATGAAAGATGTCAAACATGAAAGATTACAGGAACCAAGGGTATATCCCATAATGCTTCTTGTATTATGTATGTAAGCTTGCTATGTAAATTACACCAACTGAATTTCAAAAGAATCTGAACATGTGAAAGGAAAAAAATTAAATTAAGATGAACTGGAATTGGATTTTGTAGTATATGTGGTTGAGAAAATAAGGGGTTACAAGTACATTATACAGTATGCATTCTGCAGTTGATACCATGTTTTGGCTACATTTAGTTATCCAATATCAAGGGTACATGGTGATCAATTAGTGGCATGCATGAAAATCTGACGACAATTCAATGTGTATATAATGGCCTAACATTAAGTATGAAAAACGTCAGTCAGCAGTTGACTTAGTGTTAAATTGTATTTGCTGACAAGATCAATGCATCCACCGTAGAACTTACGAAATGATGACTTTTAAATGAGACTGCTGATAACTTGTTTCAGCAACTTGTTTGTTAATAATTTACCTCGTTTTCATAATTGATCATGTCAACTGAGAGATATAAAGCCTGTAGGTACTTCATATTTTTCATATTCAAAAATAAAACACCCTGATATACAAGCAATGGGGTTGTAACCATTTTTTAATTATCTATATGAAAATTATTTAATGTCAAGTGGCAGCGCGTATAAGCACTGCATTTAATGTTTAGGTCGATGGAGTTATCCTTCCTCTGTGCTGAATTAATTATAGAAAGTTTTGGGGTGTCTAGAAAAAAGTAGGATCGTTTTTAAGACTGAAGAATCTAGAATAGAATTGACTTTTGAGGGTTTTTGGCGTTCTACGAAATATTTGACTATTGAAGTTAAAATATTTTAAAGATAGAATGAATTGTTTTTGGTTTGGGGTCTCTACAATAGATTTCGGGATGTTGAATTGTTAATTGTTTAAAAGTGCTGTATTTAGTAAATTCAAGATGTCAGTAAATTACTTAATATATAATATGTTATAATTCTCATTCGATTTTTAAAATTAAAATATTATTAATCTTTTTATTTAACCGCAGTTAACTGCTAAGGTATCTTGTATATGCAACATGAGAATTCCATGCACTTTGTACGTATTTTTTTTTATCTTTTATTTTCTATTATTGTTACATGTAGTTGTAAACGATATGTTTTGAAACCTATATTGTATTAGTAAGACACATTGTGCGGAAATAGGGGATTGTGTACTTAAGATAAAAAATATACAGTTATAAAGTTAGACATAACGAATTACCAGGTAAAGTAAATTTGGATAATAACTTTTAATTCTTTTTTAAGCTATTACAATTATAATTAATCTGTTTTCTAAGTTTATAATATAAGTTAATATGTAAAACGTCAATCAGCATTATTCAATGTAAGATTGCAATTGCTGACAAGGTCATAATATCGACCATAGAACATGCAAAATGACTTCAGATAAAGATTTTTGAAAAATTTGTTTCATCAACTTCTTTGTCAATAGCTTGCCTCGTTTTAAAAATTGTGTTCACGTAGAGCATACTCTTGTTTGACGAATCAACTGAGAATTATAAACCCTATATGCAGTTGATAAGATATACATGTACTGCTACATATACTAGTAAGTGAGGGATGTTGACGATTGAAAAGTTGAAGTCATAACGTTAAATATGAAGTTTTGTTGTAGAAAAACCATAAATAACCTTTTCTAACAAAATATTAAAATGAGAAGCAGAAGCTTTTCGGTAACTTTTATTTGAATTTCAAAGACATATATCGAGTGGATAAATGAATGGAATATCCTATTGTTAATTGCTGATACTTCGTCGATATATCTAAATGTCGAATTGAAGGCCACAGCAAGTTTTTTTTTCTCTTCTCGTGTACAAATTTCTGAATACAGTTTGCTTCATATGAGTACAGAACTATAGCTCTGCTTATAACGGGGTGCAGTTGATGTTCATATGGTAATTTCGACAGGTTGCTGAAAGACCTAATCTAAAAAAAATTACATACATAGAAAATAATACATCTAGCGAATGTCATCTCTAGAGTACTTGTATTTACAATTAGGCTTTAACAAAATAATATTGTAAATGTTCAGTGACAAGGTAAGTAAATTTACTAGTTCAATCTTGATAATTATTGAAAAAAGCAACATTTTGATTTCAAAAAGCCTTGATTTCAATTATATAAATATTTTCAAATCAGTCACATGACAAAACAGGATATACAGTTTTGATAGATTACATAATAACCCTGGAATAATGGTTGATTATCATGACTAATAATTGGCTGAAATGTCAGTGGCCTGGTTAGGTTATTACTACATGAGTCACTTATATATTAATTAAAAGACAGAGGGAGAGGACTTATTTTGCCGACTGATTTCATAGGGTCCTTCTTATATATCTCCCTTCGATTCTATTTTTAATTCAATATTACAGTTGTACGTATTAATAGTCCTTTATACGACTGAAGGTTTTTTTTAGTACTCAGTTTCATTAGGACCCTGTAATATGAGTCATTTCGGATACCGGATTGGTGAATGTCTCGGTTGTGTTGCTGATATCCGGTAAAGTAGCACATTTAATATTCGGAATATCTCGGTTATTGCCGTAAACCCTACCTCTATTGATCCGAGTGATCTGTCACCTTCCAGAATACTATGTGCCTCTCGTTTTTTGCTGACTTATCGTCTAGACGATTTTAAGCTGTATACATATTACAGATGATTGCTGACGTCAGATAAATTTCTTTGGAGGTTCACGAAAGGTATTTCTTAACAAGGATGATCAATGGTAGGCAATTGTTGACCATATTAACAATCAAGCCTCTAATGCATTTGTTGTTTAAAGATTGACAATTTCTAAGGACAAAACTTAACTGGGGATTCACTGAAATTAAGTTAGCATTACAAATTTAAAACTCATCATCCCTTATATATTTGTATCATTCATCCAAGTATATTTCTAAAAAGTCGGTCAAATTTGAGAGTAAGGTCAGATACAAATAAATAACCACCTCATGCCTTAAAATAACCATTTTATGCTTTAAAATTCATGAACATATTTTTTTCTCTCATAGTTTTAAATAGAAACAAAAGTAAAATACCTTTAACTCAGAAAATGCAGGAAATAAATGATGGATTGTTGGATAAATTGTCTTGACCCGTTGCAATTATTATAGTATCTATTTTTCATATATTGCTCATTTCCCCACTACAAATACATGCTTATCCTTTTCTTTCTTAATGAAACCCTGACAGCTGACTATCAAAAATTATACGAAAACAAAAACTCCACCTAGTTAAAAGAGCAGATTAAAAAAAAAAAATCTAAGCTCAACATAATTAACATTTGATTCTTCTCAATATAAACTGCAAAATCAACAAATGTTTTTATTTGCAACACATTTAACCATTAAAATTGAATTTTTAGCGTTTTACTTCAACATCCTTAATTGTACTTACTTATGACATAGTCTTTTCTTTTTGAAGTCGATCGATGAAATTCTCAGTTCGTAAGTATTTCCAATTTTTTTTACTTATTATAATTAAAAGTAATTTTTATATTAAGAAATATTCTCTGCTACTAAAGTTTTAGGATTCTAAAAATATTTTTGGAAGCGGAAAATATTTATCTTATTTCTCTTAAAATAATATACTATTACTAATATGTTTAATGTCAGAAAATACATTAACTTTTAGAAATACTCTTTTCTATCATCATATAACCATCAGTGATAGAAATTCTTATCTTGTAATATTATTAATTAATTCCTTATTTTTCAGATTTCAAACCAACATGCGGATTCCTGATTAGAATTATCAGAGACGTCTCTGGAATTAAAAAGGAAATTCTTCAACAGAATTCGTAAGAATAATTGAATTTATCTTATTGAACTAAACTTAAACAAACCTATTTAGGATTTTTTTTTTAAAAATTATACCATGCCTGATGTACTTTACAAAAGCATACCACTGGTTTTGTAATGAAATTTCACACAGTTTTGAAATCTATTTCTTCTATAGAATCAAAATGAACAGAAGGTACCAAAAAAATCTTAATCTGTCTCTTCAGGGCTAATTTAAGGTTTCTTCTCCCAAAATTTAAATATATTTAAATTCTGTTTTTTTTTTCAAAACATCTGTAATCTTATTTTACACTTACCTGGTATATCTTGCTTATTTCAAAATGTTCATATAATTGTCTTTCACATTTTTCAATTTTCAATGAATATTTAACAAACTAAACCAATTGAGAACTGTTAATAAGTGAAAGAAAATTATAGTCAAAGAAACATGAGCGTCGAAATAGCAACTTCAATGTAGAAGAGAACAACGGGGATTTCGTATTTCGAAAGATCTGCAAATTTTCCTGTGCAAAATATAATCCTTAAAGTTTCATAAATTATTTAAATAAAAAATTGTAATAAACTTTCCAGATGATAGAGATTTGGGTCGACTCTGTATCATTATAAACAATTTCCCTTTCATCATTTATTTTAATGTATAAATTACTCTTCTTTTTTAATGAGCACGATTATTATCATTTGAATAATCTTTGATTCTTTCTCTTTGATAAATATTTTACATTTCAAGTTTTAATGTAAAGTTTAAACTTATTTATAACAACGATATTTAAAGATAAATTTAAACTTTCGATTTAAACTTTTAATGTTACAAATATAAAGGAAAGTAATACACAAAAATGACATTTGGTACATTTTGAATTTAGCAGATCAGGGATATGCAAAGAGGATGAGTGGGTGAACCCTCCCATTTTTCTGAGAAATCTTGGTTCAGTACGTCAGTTTGCATTCAGATTGTGATCCCCCAGCCATATTTTTAGTTGCTGTAAGGTCAAACACTGGCAAAATTAAAGTTTGAAAAAGTAGACTGAAGAGTTTAATTACCTCTTCTTTTGTATTGATTGCAATTTTGTTTATTTGAAAATACCACATAAAATCTTATAAAATCCTTTAAAGAGAAGGGAATGGGAATTAAACGTTTCTTTAATATTTTCTATGGTTTTTCAAATAAACAAAATTGCAATCAATACAGAAGTTGAGATAATTAAACTTGGAGTTAAAGACAGCGAAATTCCTTGGTTTCCATTCAACACACATTGTGTGTAAATTAATTAATTAACATTCCTGATATTGTTATGACTGAATAAGGAAACAATAGAAAAATCCTGGTCAACATTCAGCCATAAAAGTCAAAAACTGCAAAAAAAAAAGGAAAGAAGAAAAAATTAATCCATTTTAGTTCAGAAATAGATATAGGGAAGCGTGAGTGGTTTCAAAAAGAAGTGAAAATATCAGACCGTCCACATTTGTTTGACCACAAATACCTAAAAAGTGCTCATTTAACATTTTATGAATTCTAAACAGGGATCAAGGAATGACAACTCTATCCAAAAGACACAGTTTTAGAAGACTTATCTTTCCATCTATATCCAATACGTCGAATGGAAAAGTATAACATACTAGTATCTGTAATCTATATCTATAGTTTTACGTTTCTTAACCTTTTTACTGGATACTTGCCCATCATTCGAAAAATATGACGTTCTTCAGGCTTTTTTTTTTTTACGATTTTGATATTTTATGCGCCAGTAAAAATACGTTTTTTTTCCTGGCACATAAAATATCAAAATGCCTAGAAAACGTCAGATTTTTCGGACTATCTTGCCCAATGATCACCGTAATTTTATTATAAAACGTCAACGAATCCTTTTGTTTCATACCTTATGTTTTTTAAAAACAATTTTATTCTTGTTCTACACGAAATATACTGGTCATTATTGAATCAATCTTGTGTATAAATAACATTTAGAATTCTTCTTGATTTCTCTGGATGAAACATTGCGTATGAACTAAAGTTTTGAATATCAGCTATTAAAAATAAATCCCCGTGGTTAATTAGATAAAGCTTACACTTTTGCGAGTGTAGCGTTCTCAAAGGGCGAGCAAATCAAGGCCTCTCCACACAATCAGACACTGAATAAATATGGGGGTAGAGGGCAACAATCACAATACATATATGTCGATCTTCTTATTATAAACATTTGAAGCAATATAATAGTTACTGGTACAATCAATACGGTTGTACCAGTAACTATTATATTGCTTCAAATGTACCACCACTGTCAGAATTTTTTCCCTAATGCTTGATGTGTATATATTTGAATTCCTCTGTTAATTTTTGTATTCAGACTCTGTCCTGAATATTTAAAAGATTTTTTTTTCTGGTGACACCCTATGAACAGTATAACATAACTTCTTCGAGAATCCAAAATCAGTGATGGTGTATGTATTGCATTCAATTATGAATATTATCACTGATTTCAATCATGAGAAATAACCAATCTGTTCGGTCGCTCAAGGTTAGTCAGGAACCATGTTGGTTTACGTTGCCTTTTTGTTGGTTTTATGTAAGTTAATTTTAATTATATTCTTAATTTTATTCAAAGTTTGTTTATAGATTTAAACAAAATAGATTCCACATAGCGAGAGGTTCAAATTTTTGATTCAGTTTCAGGACAAAGCACACCCTGTCACAATAAGGAAGAATGCAATCATTCTGGAGTGGGTTGTAGCAATGGCTTTCAAGTTGACTGTGTTGGGCATCAATGCACGTGTGTTCAGAACCACCGTAAGAGGATATTACTCTATTGATTTCATTACAAACTATGGAAGACGAAATCCTTTTGACGGTATCTTTTGATCTGTACATTTTGTCGGCAGTACCTACCCTTATTGCATATATTGTCGCCCATCCCTCTGCACAATGGAGAACAAATAGAACAAAAAATATAGTGAAAAATCTGCACATCATGTTATTGAAGATTGTATTATGAACATTTGTATATTCGCCAATATTTTTAAAGTATATATATTTACTGAGGTCTTTAAAAGAAAGAGAGGGAGACTGACACACATACATAAACACATCCTCTCACATACACACAAACACCCTCACTCACCCTCACCCACATACACACTCTCTCACACACACACTCACACACAGAAAGAAGGAGCGTCAGACAGACAGACAGACAGACAGACAGCGAACTTGGCAGAGAGAATTGTAAATAGAGGAAAACACATTTTGGTCAGAAAATTTTATCAACCGTAGACAGATAGTGTCTATGGAAGGCAATATGTGTTGGGAGGATATGTTCACATTGTTGCCAACAACAATATACCGGTATACAATATGACAATATACCCCACCCCACCCCCCACCCCCCACCCCCCAAAAAAAAAATCTAAGGAAAATAACAGAGTAAAGAAAATAAAAATGAAGATTTCTTATTTAAAAAATTAGCATAATATTATTCCTGACTTATTGGCTATATAATGAATCTTCTAGAATTTCGATAATTATATTTATAATTATCGACATTTTAGGCATATTTCATTAATTGTTTTATGAAATGTAAATAAAACAAACGGTAATCAAAGTAAAATGTCCATTTAAAGGGACATGGAAAAAGTTTCAACTGAATTTTTTAAAACCAATTTTAATGTTTATAATTCCTAACTAAGGCAATTTTAATGATCAGTAAAAATTTTAGCATCATCTTTTGATTTACAAAGCAGATGCAGAACTAATGTCAACAAGACTCGAGCCTTGTTTTGTTTACAAATAGAAAATATCATATTTATAACAAAATGAGATTCAGTAAATCACTAGAAACTGTCTAATCGTATTTATAATTAACTTCTTTATAAAAAAATCTTCTTTGAGCGAACATATCATTAGTATAAGTAATCAAAAACATGACACATGCACTATTTATATAATAAAGGTTTGGAGCTCTAATCTGTCTTGTATCTCGACAACTGAAATTCAAATTTTTTTGATGATCTTTAAAGAATGGAAAAATAATTTTGAAAATTTTTAGCTGAAACTGTGTCCATGGCCCTTTAAACAAACGTATCAGGAGCAGAGAAATACAGACCTTCAAAACAGACATTAAGTGGTATCAGGCCTCAAGACCATAAACAGAGAATAGATTTAAGTCAAAATTTTGATTTTTAATATCATGAGTTTCATTTCACAATATTTCTTAAAATTTTGCAATTTTGAATTAAACTTTGGATGTATTCACTTTGACAAAAGAATTGACCTATAAGAGAGAAAAATTTCCCGGAAAAAGTGACATTTAAAAATTAATCTTTATTTGTTGTTTTCTACCGTATATAGATAAATGTATGTCTAAATTTTTCAAATTTGTATTTTATACATAAAATTTATTTTTTACAACTTTACAATAAACCTCCAAAGTTGGCCGAAACACCATTTTGTCCGTTAAAGCGTTGATTTTTGCATGAATTTTGGCCATGAAGTCCTTCAGGGCAGGCCTGCCCCTAAATAAAATTGTGATATTTTGATAGGTTTGGATGTAAGGAATTATTTGAGATAGGATTTTTTTTAGGGGCACCCCTGGCCTAGGGTCGAAATTTACAAAAAACCTACAAAAAATAAGGAGACCTGATTTTGATAATCTGCTTCAAATTTATACATATAAATGTCATAGTCAGACTAGCTCAGTTGATATGTGCGCTGACTATTACACCGTTCAATTTAACATTTTAAAGTTTGGGGTTCGAATCCACCTGGTACCACACTTTTAAAGTTTTAAATTTTCGCCTTTTCAAAGACTATTTTGATATTTTTTTTATATTTCCTTCAATTGTCTATCCTTTATGCACGCCCATTCTTGATATAAGAAACAGTAAAGAGATATCAAATCGTAAAAATCCAATGTACAGTTGTCAGTCAGGCGGAGCAATTGGCAGCATTGAGCTACGATGAATGTCAATTGTATATTTTCCTTAGAATTTAATAAAATTGATTTTGACTACATATAATGATCAGTAACTGTACTCCCTCGGATTTGATTTAGGCCTATATAATTTGCACACATTAATGGAATGTTGTATTATATTCACGGATAAAATAGCCTAGACATAAAGAATAGAATTTCAGAGGCAGTAAACATTACCATTATGCACATTGAGAAGTTAAGACAAATATCAATTATTACATTTTGAGATAACAAACTCGGGAAATCAATGAAAGGGTTCCTCCTACCTCTACTCGCTGAAAAAAAAAGATTTGGGAAAAACAAATTGTTATTAATATGTATTCAGCTTAATGCCATTAATCAGAACGGAAATCGACAAGGTTTTTGTAGAGAAAAAAAACCAAGTCTGGTCCTATAGGTCAAATCCCTATTTATAATTAAATGATCCTTTAAACAAATTTTGAAAATTTTGTTTCATTATCAAAATTATTTCAAATGTTATATTGGATTGAAATTTTGACTTAATCTCAGTTTATGGTCTTGGGGACAGGTGCCATATCACGGAGGAGTGAGCTTATCCTGCCAACCAGTCACACCCTCCAAGGGCTCCTTTTCATGATCGGGGAAAACGAAAAAATCCGAGATAATTTAGTGTATTCACTATATCAGTTAACAATAAGTATGAAAAATATCAGTTTGAATTTTGTTAATTTTACTTAATGATAGATTGTGTTTGCTGACAAGGTCATAGCTATATAGAATCGAGAAATGATTACTTTAAACGAGACTTTTGATATATCTGGTTCATCAAACTTATTTGACAATAGCTTGCTGTGTTTTAAAATTTGTTCATAGGTAAAGAATATTCTTAAAGTATTGAATCAACTGAATAAGCAATATATACAGTTGATATGGGTATATTGCTAAATGTTCGCGGGTTGTCCGGTTAAATTTTCATTAAATGATTATTTATCATATTTAAGTGCATCTAAATTGTTTTGTTAAAATCTAGTCAAAAATAAAGACTTTAGTTTGCTTGAATGTGCACAGGGTAGGGTCCTATTGCGCACGATTAAGAAAAAAAGATATTATGTTGCCTTTTTGAAAATTTCAAGGCATTTGCTTCATTTTTGGCTGTTTCCTAAGCATTCGAAATGGGAAGTGGTAAATATAACACTCCAAAATGGTGACGTTAAATGACATTACGGTGAACCGTAGTGCAATTCAGTTTAATTAAGATGCAGCAATGAAGACCTAAAAGAATTTAAATGAATACAGAAGGAAAAAATATATAAATACCTTTCTTCTTCTCGTGTATGATTTTGAATAAATTCTTCACATGAATACAAAATTTGGTTTGCTAGTAAAAAGCGAAATTAGTACTCATAGGGATTTCCGACAGATTGTTCAACCTACAATTCAGTTCAACAAAAGAAACATTGCTCTTTATTGTGAATAGCATTATTATTTGAAGAAACCAATAATGATATATCATGTACGATAAATATGTTACATGAATAATGCCTCTCACAGATCATGAAGAGGTTCACAAATGCAATAAGAGCAAAGTAATAGAGGCGATATTGATTGGACACCCTCTGCACGTCCCTCACATAGACTGCGTCCACCACCAGCTGACCACCCACTCACTGGTCTATAATTACTGCGGGAACAACAGTACAACCTCATGGAAGAGGGGACAACGAGTAAGATGACTTGTATAAGGTTTAAAATTACCTACCGGAGTGGAGTTTCTTTACTTTCTTTTCTCATTTGAAAAATAATGAATATAATGCTGATTAATTTGTGAATCAAGTTCAGATACCGAACAGTATTTGAGCTCAAAAGTCCATTAAACAATACAAAATAGGAGCAGGGCAAACATGGACCTCTAAAACACCAGAGGTGGGATCAGGTGCTATGGATGAGTGAGCACCCCCTGTCGAACGGTCACACCCACTGTGTAATACTTGCCATGTTCGGGGAAAAATGAAAAATCCGTTGACGACTCAGTGTGTAAATATGGTCTAACAATTAATATGAGAAAAGTCAACTGCTCTGCTCCTTTGAAGACCTGTCCTCAGACAGCAAACAGTAGTACTGTGGATTCTTAACTCACACAAGTACTAAAAAGTAGTTTCTTATATGTACAGGCTTGGCTTAACCGCCGTATGCATTTTATTTGATTTGATTGTTTTTATCTAACTTATCGAAAGCCATGTTTGAATGCTTTCGTACAGGTTGAGGACTACTGTAACGCGCATCCGCATGTCACAGATGAGTATAAACCAATCTCCACGTTTCATGGACACGACTTCCACGGAGATTCCGGAATAACGGCAATATTTCTCAGCTGTGAGTCGAATGGAATTAAGGTAAAGTATTAAGATTATCAATTTGAAGTTACCGTTTGTCTTTTTTTTTTTTAGACTTGCTGCACAACATTAAAAAGCACAGACATGTTCTTCACAAAATCAGCGTGGAGAAAACGTTTTATGCAAAAGTAGTACTTCAGTTTTTAAAAAAGAAAAGTTGTAGTATTTTGACACACTTCATACAGCATTCTAACCGTTTAAAATGCTTGAAAAATCTATTCTTAATACAATGTAAGTGTTCTTTCATTTTCATTCTTCTTCGATGATAGCTTTACTTATCGTTCTTTATGAAAAACCCGTTTCATTGCTCCTAGTCAATGTTTTATTCTGTTTATATACTTTTTCCTTCAGATTGCCACGGAACTCTGCAATAATCCTCCACTAATATATTCCCTTGGAGATCATCCTCTAACAAACCATCTTCCAGCTGCTCACGATTTTTATTTCATTGCTTGGTAACAATCCAAAGAAGAAAGAAAAAAATGTGCTTTTAAAAATGTTTTTAATTTACAGTCAAACTTGTTTTAAGAGGCCACCTTTGGGAAGTCTGGAAACTGGCCACTTAAGACAGGTGGCCTCTTATTCCAGTTTGCCCTCGAAAAAGACATCAAAGCACTACAGTTCAATTAATTACTCAAATAATAAAACAGGTCAATTTAACAAAGGTTTTTTTGTGTATATATAATAATTCAAGCTCATTCAAGAAACTATTAAAGAATTGGAAATTTTAAAGGTTTTGTGCATGTTTCTGATCCTACATATTAGGTAAACAAAAAATACATACAGTGCCTGGCTATTATCCTTTTTTGTAAAGAAGAAAAAATTACACAAAAATACAGTTTAATGGTAAATAAAATAAAGCATAGAAATTTAAGTAAGACTTTGTCAATTAAAATTTCACTTGCATATGTTCAAAAATGGTCATCAGTGTAACACCCCCCCCCCCCCCCCCCCCCCCCCCCCCAAATTAATTCATCGGCAATTAACTTACTTGCTGAAGTTTTTAAAGTCTGATAAATCTTATTGTTTATAAAGCTGTCATGATTTCTATGTAACATACACAGACACACAAATAAAATTAACCACTTGACCAGAGAGATGTATTGACGCAGTTGAAAATCATTCCATAACACAGGTGTGATATGCAGTGGAGCGTGACTAATCCCCATCGATTTTTATAGTGAAATTCACGAGATAATCATGCCATATGAAGCACTTTGTTTTCACAAGAGTAGCAATTAGGGCTTCTACATGGAAAAAAATCTAAAAGGTGTGAATTTCTTTAGGTAGAGGAAAGTATCAATTGTATTTAAATTCTTTCTATTTTTCAATCGGCGATCTTGAAAAATAATTACAATTTTATCTAACAGGTTTATTCATAAATACAAACAGAGTTCAGTGTATCCAATAGTAATTTGTTTAATTGCATTAATAGCTGGGTTAAATTGGCTATCGGCATATTATTACCCAAGCAAATGAGTTTTTAAGACATAATAGAAAGCAGGTGAATGGCCGCCTATTACAGTGTTAATAAGGCTGTTGGGGGAGGATTTGAGTGGCCGCTGGCCGCGTTACACAGGTGGCCGTTTATTCCAGTTAAAATATATAGGAAAAATCGTTGGGGGGAACTGAAAGTATTTCGGGTGGCCGTTAAAACTGTAATACAAACTGTAGAATATAAAAAAATAGTTTACAAAAAATAAAAGAGGAATATAAATAATAGGATTTCATTAGTTATTATAAATATGAATCATCAATGTGTACATTATGCTTATCAAAGTAATTTACAATGTCAATGAATTATACATTTTCAGGTATCGCTTTGTAGGATAAGGTTTTAGGAGGTACATAATCAAAGTTTGAAATTGTGTCTGATTTCATGTCACTTGAAGGTACAATTGGCTCTATAAGAATTGCCCCATTTTTAAAGTCTGGTAGAATGACAAAATCATTGCCTATTTTAGCCACTCGTTCAGAAAGAATGTTCTTTTGAGGTTCTGAAATGATATCTTTCTGAGAGGCAGGCGGTGTGAAAAACACAGTTGGCTTTGGAGGAATGGTGCTAATGACGTCATTTCTTACTCTCTTAATGGTGTCATGAAGTTGACCTGACATTGATTTTTCAAATACAATCTTTTGTCCTCTCTGGGAATTTACTTGTAGCTTATTGTTTAAAGATCGAATTACTACATCAGATGGAATGTTTCCAATTTTTCCTGATGTTACATCTACTAGGTCTGCAGTTTTATCCCTGGGAATAGACTGTGAATTAGTAATGATATTTATCTTAGAAGCATCATTCGTACTACTTCCAGTAAACGACGCTTCTATGATTCCACTACCAGCAGAAGATTGGGTGGTTGCCAGTATATTTTGCGATGTCGTTTTTCTGTTATCTGGCAGATCACCTCTGGTTGGACCTTGATCAAAATAGTCGTTGTATTCTTCTATTAATTTACGAAGGTCGTCGTCTGTTGAATTTAAATCTGTTGTGTTGACAGTATCGTCAATGGACAGCTCTCCCTCTATAAAGGTGTCTGTTGTAATGTAGGATGTAGTAGTTGTTGGAGCAACAGTCGTTGAACTAGCTGCATCTGTCCTGGTGTCGTCGTCACGTGATGATGTCGTCTGCATGGTCGATGATGTTGTGAGTCCATCTGTGCTTTTTTCTGTTATAGGCATTGTTGTTGTCATTGTTATTGAGGTTGTAGGTTTTTCATCAGAAGTTGTTGTCCTCTGAGTGGTGCTCACTTCACCCTCTTCCGCTGACGTCGCTGCTGTTGTGGACGGAGTCGATGTTGTTTTTTGTGTTGTCTCTGGATTTGTGCTGATCTCAATTTCTTCTGATGCTGCTTCTGTAGTTATTAATGGTTGTTCAGTAGTGGTTGAATTAGTTATCTCTTCGCTAGCAGTTGAATTATTTACCTCTTCATTATTCTCGATGTCGTCTTCAGTGGTAGTCTTGGGATAGGAAAATGTTGTCGTTTCTAAATCGGTTGCAGCATCATAATAATCAAATCGATTTAAAATGCGAAAACCTCCCTCCTCAGAACTACTCGAGTCACCATCATTAAACCAGTATGTGACATCCATTTTGTTTGCATTTCTTGAATTTACTATAGGTGTACCTTTTAATAAAATAAAAAAAAATATATTCTAACATTGTTCTATATCACATACATGTATATATGTACAACAAAATCACTGTAACAGTTCTTCATAGAACTCTAAAGAAGCAAATTCTTTAGTAGAACTCGGTATTATTAAATTTTTCTTCGTATCATGGTCTGGCATAAAAAAATCTTTTCTGACAAAATTAGTATACCTACTACCACTTTTTATTTGAAACTTTTGCTTTAACTCTTTTTGAAAATCAATGCAGGTAAGATTTTTAAAAATTAAGAAATTTTGAGCAGAGGGTCATAACTCCTTAAAAAGTATAAACTTCACCTGATATACAAAAGATTTTGAAGGCTTACCTCTATTTCGAAAATCATTCCTTGATTGAGAATTCATGATGTTCTTTATTAAGCGAAGAAGGCCAAAACCGGCAACATTGGATACGCAGAAAAGAAGTATGCTTGCTTGTACTATTTTCATTTTTATCTGAAAAAGAAAATGCCCTACTATATTGAATTGAACGGTTTTTGTTTACATGTATATCTTTTAATTTGCTGTGATTGAATTTGATCTCAGATTGTCAACTTACGATTTTCTGTCCGACTCAATCGATGGTTAATGCTGTTCCCGACAGATCTAAGCTAATATATACCATTTAGTTTTAAGGGTCGGCACATCCCGAAAAATTCCGCAGAGGAATAATTTTAGAGGTTGACGTAAACCGAGAGTTTTGTTTATTTTCTGCATTGGTCGTAGGATGAAAGAAACATGATTAAGACAATATAAATACTGATGCACGCGAAAGGGAGAAAAACCACACATAACCTGTCCCGCTGTCACGGACCATTTGTGACGGTGGTGGGTCAGCTGACAGGTGAGGCAATGGTATGGCTAGGCTCTGTCATGTCATATTTCATTAGTCAAATTAATGTTATCAAGAGGTGAACATTTCAGTGGAGGATTGCTGCAGTAAATAGCTGTCCCTGTCTCAATATAAAAGTACATGCAGCACCAAGACAATAAATAATGTACATGTATATTAAATAATGGTATCATTATATTTTTAGTATACGCTGTACTTTTAAGACAAGGTTTTCACAGATTGAGGTATCAGTATAATTAATAAAAAGCATCAAATGTAACATGTTCATTCGCTCAAGTTTATATACAGTATTTTAAACATTCACCATCAGTTGAACTTATTTATTTAATTGACTGCTTTAATCGAACAAAGATGACACGGTATGTTTGAAAAGATTTTGTAGAGGTTTTGTCAGATTTTAATAATATTTATTATTCTTTGTTATTTATTTTTTTTTTAATTGTAAGATTTTTTTTACTTAACACGCAATACATTCATAAAAAGTTTTTCTAATATTTGATTGGTAGTTCTTTTTCACTAGCGCCAATGCTCACCGTGTTGTGGGCGCATGTAAAGTGACGTATGAATGGTCAAACTTGCACTTCCGATAGGTCATTATCGTGGTATGCATGTTAACTGACGAGTTAATCAGTTATAATTAATCGTGATCTCCTTTGTCGTAGATATAAAAAATCTTGTTTATCTCTTCGCTCGTCATTAGTAAATAACGTGTTAATTTCCACGTAAGGTTTTCTTTGGGGATTTTATTGCATCTTATAGAAAACCCATGTTAATGATTTTAATCAATAGGTTTGATAGTGTCATATTAAAAAAACATTTTGATATTTATTTGTTATCTTGATATAATCACATGATCACATAATGATAAAGATACATTGCATAACGATAAATGCACATACATTATAATGACAAAAGCGCATCACAAAATGACAAAAGCACATCACATAATGACAAAAATATACAACTCATAATTCATTTTGGCCATGATAAGATAGCCCAGGCGTTGCATAATCTTCAGCACAATTTCTAATCTGAAACATCTTAATTCATCGTCTCAAGCCACGGTCCGGAGTCCGCATAAAGCTCTCTCCTACGGCCAGAATGGGAGAGGATCGTACATTTTGGCCGTGGTTTGCGACAATGATCTTAATTATACTGGCCTTCTTTACACACAGTTCTCCTATATCATAAAGAGCTGGAAACGTATGCAAAGGTCAGTAGTGTCACTGGAGATGCTCAAAGTTACATTGCTAACTTTACATACCTTGAATTTGTTTTCTGTATTTCGTTAGCAAAATTGACTACATGTTCTCTCTAAGAATGTCTTTGCCAGTTATTGCCCCCGAAACATCTTTGATTCTGATTGCAATCCGTGAAATCATCATATACTTTAATTTACTCCTTCTATTTCTGTCATATCTTCTTGGAATATCAGTCTTAATATCTTTCAATGATTCAAATCAGTCCTCTATTATATCTTCTTGGAATAGATGAAATTTGGTAATAAATTGAAGATTGAATGAACTTTTTAAAGTGCATGAAATGCATGATTGCAGGGAAACGGTATATGCGTGATTTTGCGTTAGAAATAGGAAATGGTATATGCGTTAAAATGCGTGACTGCGGGGAAGGGGGGTTAAAGCATTTTAAAACAAAAATAATCAAGAAAAAAAAACCCGAGGCGAAAGATTAAATAAGAGTAGTTCGCTCTTATTTGATGGTATTAACAATGCTTGAATCTGTATAGAGTTCTGCAGCTAGTACCCATGTACGAGTAGTTGCAGAACTGAGAAAATTCGAACAAACAAACCAGAGCGTTTCAGATCCAATCGTTGTAAAAACTTTTTTTTTTTTTTACAGTATGTACCTTTGAACGGTTCAAATCCGCCCTTAATGGGCTGTGGCAACGCACTTAGAAAATATTACATATATACTTTGAGAACTTTTTTTTAAAGTGCCTTTAAATTGGGGCAAAACCAAGGCACTTTTTAGCCCTTTTAGCAACATAGATGTTGGAATGCTAATTTTTAAAACTGCGATTACATGGTCATTTGAGCTATCTGGAACGCTTAACCATAAATAAAGTATCAAGAATAGGAGTAAAATATATGCTTGATTAAGACGTCTTATGCTTTAGGCGAGGGAATGCCTATAAAGTAGATATAGAACCCGAAGCAAGTAACCCAAAGTAATCGCCCGCCAAAAATCAAAAGTTTTTTTTCAATGCTGGGATCTGTTGCGCATTGGTTTATCTGTCCGAAATATCCAAAACAAGTAAACTACAGTTCCGCAGCACAGGCGCTTGACGTTTCTAACATTTCTTTTCATAAATAAAAGAATATAGTAACTATGGGGATATTTTTTTATTTATGAAAAGAAAGGTTAAAAACGTCAAGCGCCTGTGTTTTGCGGGTAGTTCCCAAATTTCCTTTGCAGAGTTGTCGGTCTTTCCTCTCTCAGACCCAAGTCAAGATTTTTGACATAAATTAGAAAAATACACGATGTTCCAAGGATTTTTTCCAATTTAAATAATAGTTTTAGATCTACTTAAGGAAGGTCCATACTTTTACGCCAATATAAGTTCTGATTATCACTTGTTTATTGAAATAAATTCGTTTTGTATGATTGATAATAATATAGCAAGAAAATATTTGTTTATTATACATGTAGTGCCCTTGTGCATACAAAGCATTTAATACACATTTTTATGGAATTAACACTTTGCATTCTTCATTTTTGTTATTAAGTACACACACAGACACAAAATTCCTAATTTTTCCTTAATGGACCTAAAGTTTAAAAAAAAATTTAACAAACTAACTTGGGATCTATCTTTATTGATTTAAGCCGATATCTCCTTTTAAATTTTACTTTTTCAAAGTTTTGCAAAGAATGAATATTCCGAAAATGAGTATATTCGTGTTCAAAATGCTGTTTTGTAAAATCTGTTTAGTAAACAATAATAAATTATGTGTTTTTGTGAACCTTAGATCTAATTATTAATAGTTTTAAAGAAAAAATGACAAATAAACAGTTAAGATTTTGAGAATTTTCAAAAATAAAGATTTTTTTGAGATTTTTGTCTGATAGACGTGGACAGATTCAGCATCAATGTGTTATGTTTTCAAGTGAAAATTTCAATATTCTCTTGGTAAATGAATATTTTTGATTTTCATAAGTTTGAATATAATTTTGATGTGATTTAGTACATAGCTAACTAAACAAGAAATATTTTAAAACACTTATCCCCTCTCCCCCAAATAACTGGAATTTTTGTAAGTCCAAGGGGAATAACTCTGACAAAAAAGAGGCTCGATCGTACCCAAAACAGAACTTGACTTACATATTTTGATGATAAATATGTATACCAAATTTCATTTCAGTATGCGCAATTACTGGGAAGATAATTGGCGGAAACATGAGGACCGACAGACAGACAGCTAGACCGACCGACAGACAGCAGCAAAGCAATATGCCCTCCCTTCATCAAAGGGGAGGGGGCATAAAAATGATATCAGACTTCTTAATGTTCAATTTTGGCTGTTCAGTTTGAAAGGTTAAGTACTCTGACACATGTTTGAAAATTAACCTGCAAAGATGTGTCTTTTATGGGTGTTTTAGTTAGTTTATGAGTTATTCAAGGTATTCAAATAAAAATGTTATCAATTCGACAGAAGTTTTTAAAAGTATGGGCCTACCTTAATTAAAATATATCTTAAAAGACAAACATTAGTGAAGGATTTTTTTTAGTAGTAGGAATAAAAAAAAACAAACGCACTATTTCTTGTACCTATCACTCGATATACAGGAGGTGATGTATAAGAATGCTAGTACCCATGTTTCACAAAGTCGATATCACTAAATTTTACTTTTTATGTAAGTTGAACTTTAAACAAAAATAATTTTAAAATAAATTTTCTTAGCATAAACGGTAAGTAATTGTTTCCTTAAAGCTTCTTAGCCCTCTCTCTCATTCTCTTACACACACTTTCTCTTACACACACACTCTCTCTCTTACCTCCCTCTCTCTCTCTCCCTCTCTCCTCTCTCTTCATCCCTTACCCTCCATCCTCCCCTCTCTCCCTATCTCGCTCATCCTTCCATTATTCTCTCTCTCTTACCCTCTGCCATTCCTCTCCTCTCTCTCTCACCCCTCTCTCTTTCTCTCACCCTTCATCGCTCTCTCTCTCTTTTATCCTATCTCTCTCAGTTAGTTGCTTTCCTTGTGAAATAAACTATATAAATCATAACACATAGATGTTTTATCCTTTAGACCCTCCATTCTTGATTTTTTAATCTCTCTCCCTTTAAAATTATAAGGGCCTAACTCTCTCTCAATACTGCTTCATCGTACATGAATGTTCTTTGTTTGCGTATTTAATGAAGAAGAACTTTATATGCTTGAATTTTATAACATGCTTACTTACAAACATGGAACATGAGCATGTCAGTTAGATATTCCATTTTGTTGGACCCTTAATTAAGTTCTCTCTCTCTTACCCTCTGCCTCTCTTCCATTCCTATCTCTCCCTCTTAAACTCTATCACCCTCTCTCTCTCCCTCTTACCGCCTCTCTTTTTCTTTCTTTCACCCTCCATCTCACCTACCCCCTCTAACTCTTACCCCTTTTCTCTCTCTCTCTTTCTCCTGAAGACTCTTTATTTTGACCACCCCAAAATAAGCTTCTCCCTTTCCCACACTTTCCCTCTCTTTTTGTTTCCCTGTGGCCTAATGTATTGATTTTGAGGTCCAAAGTTCTGACTCAGTTGTGTGCTTTCCTTGTGATATAAACTATATAAATCATAACACATAGATGTTTTATAGTTTATTTAGAATAAAGGATAATGGGGGGGGGAAATGCATTTTCTACAAGAAGAGAAAATTTTTATCGCTATTATAAAAAAAAATTATAGAATGTTCATTCTTGATTTTTTAATCTTTGGATTGGATAAACAGCCTTATTTATTTATGCAAAAGATGAATGTAATTTAAAATTATAAGGGCATTCCATAACTTTATACACATAATAAAGAATAAGCAGAAAATATATTGACACACATGTATTTTATTTGCTTCAGTATACATGTATACATTTAATAATTCTTTGTTTGCGTATTTAATGAAGAAGAACTTTATATGCTTGAATTTTATAACATGCTTACTTACAAACATGGAACATGAGCATGTCAGTTAGATATTTCATTTTGTTGGACCCTTAATGAAAAGTAGATGTGCGGATGTTGCCCTAAATTACCCATATGCAGAGCGGAGGTCTATCAAACTATTCTTTCTTTGACCAGACATGAAACTAGGGTTTGACATTCACTATCCCTTTCCCTTGGATGCCAGTATTCTTCAATTCTATTTTGTTTGTTTGTTTGTCTTTTTTTAATATAGGTTCAATGGAAACATATCTTCAAAAGAATTTATAAAAGATAATTCAATTGTACATAGGTTCAATTCTTTTTCTGTTATTGAAAATATTGAAATCACTGCCTGACAGCGACTTGAACACGAAGAGAACTGTACAAAATATTTTCATTGGGAGTATATGGAACGCCGTCACTGCCTTATAGCAGAACTCTACATTTGCATTGTGTCAACTTTCCATTCCATTAGGTCAACACTTTGTGACATTTACTTACAGTACTATTGCATTTAGTCAACTTTCCATTACATTATGTCAACTCTTTATGACATTTACTCACTCTAATATTGCGTTATGTCAACTTTCCATTACATTATTTTATGCGTTATGTCAACTTTCCATTACATTATGTCAACTCTTTATGACATTTACACACGCTACTATTGTTTCCATTACATTATGTCAAATCTTTATGACATTTACACACTCTAATATTGCGTTATGTCAACTTTCCATTACATTATGTCAACTCTTTATGACATTAACCCACACCACTATTGCATTGTGTCAATCTTCCATATCATTATATCAACTCTTTATGACATTTACACACACTACTATTGCATTGTGTCAACCTTCCATTACATTATGTTAACTCTTTATGACATTTACACACTCTACTATTGCGTTATGTCAACTTTCCATTACATTATATTAAGTCTTTATGGCATTAACTCGTACTTCAATTACATTGCGCCAATCTTCCATTGCATTATATCAGCCTTTTATGACATTAAGTCAAAACAATTTTACGTGGTGTAAAGATGGTTTTTATATAATTTCAACTCATTATTACATGTGCACTCTCTACTATTTGGTCTAAGTAGTTCATTACATTATGTGAATTTATCTTTAATTCAATATCAAGTCGCTATAACACGATGTCAGAATTTCATTATATGATGTGAAAAAAATTGTCACATGTGGCCAATACTTTACTATATTGTGTCATCAATATGCTACAGGACGACGGGAATCTATTACATGATGTCAATTTTTCCTAACTTTTTGACAATTCATTATTATGTTATGCCACTGTATCTTTACATTGTGTCTAAAATGCTTAGCCTCTTGTCAGTATATCTTAGAATATTTCAACTCTTTATTATGTTTTTAGGTTATGCCTAAAAGTTCGTTTTGTGTTTTCAATATTACATGCACATATGTTAAACATGCAAATAATTTAAATTAAACATATCAAATATTAAATTATATACACAAGACTTAATTAATTCTTAATTAAATATCAGGTTCCAATTTATAAATAGGATCATGTTCCCGTGGAATCTTTATTGACGATTGTTTTTTTAACGTCGAAATTCAATGGCCTTTAAATCTCATAATTATCGCAAATCAAATAGTATGGGTTATGTAGCAATATTTTCCTTTTTATTTTGAATTATTTTGAAAAGTCAAACTTCTGATCTAACAACAAAACACTGTCCTTAGCTTTTTATCAGTCTTTAACCCTCCTCTTATTAAGAAAAAAAAAGTGTAAACACATCGTATTTCATACGTGCACTGGTGGGTGGGTGGGGAGAGGGGGGATCCTGCCCTCCCATCTTTAGTGACCAAAATATGCATGAAATTAATTAATTGGTTTTACTTTGTAGGACATTGCATAAGTCTCACATAAAGTATAACTGAAATAAGTTGAAATGTTTTATATAAAAAAACTGAATTAAGCCCGAGAGCCTGCAGGCTTTCATCCCCTGGTCCCCAACTTAGACACCATACCGTCCCCCTATAGGTACTCTTTTCAAGAACCCAAGATCGCCACTGATATGTGCCCATGTTTACTGGAATGGTCAATTGATTTAAGTGGGACTGGTAGATTTTTGTAACAGAATTCTAGTCCTGGAATGGTTGAAAAATGACTCATTCCAGTGACGTTGCATCGTTTTTGAAAGTTTGGGGAGGTTTGTCAGCCAGCAAAAAAATAACGTACAAGAAAAAGCAAAAAAAAAAAAAAAAAAAATGTCCAAACTCGAAAATCCTTTTTTGGGTGAAAGAAGGGGGGGGGGGGGTCCAACTTCGATCAGTCCTAAAAAAAATTTCCAAATATACTACATTACCCATATACTTCAGCAAAAAGTGGGGCGAATTTCAATGAACATTTTCTATGATATAAAGTTATGTCGGGAAAAAAGAGGAAGCCAGACCCCCCCCCCCCCCTCATATAATGTATCTGTAATTCGTCCTAATTATTCAGGACCCCCCCCCTTCCCAGTCGTGAAAGGACGGTTATCAAATTTGACATAATGTAAATGTATTTTACAGCACGTAATGAACATTTGTAATCAACATGATAAAGAATTAACACAATGTAAAGATAGTTTTAAATCACATAAGAAAGAGTCGACCTAACGTAATTATATATCCACATCACGGAATGGAGTTTTGACATAATGGAATAAAGTGTTGGTATAATATGGAACACTATCTCCATAAAATATGTTCACATTATGTTAAAACCCTTTTTACATTACGTAATAAAGCACTGACATAAAGGTAAGATGTTTTCACATCACATTGTGATGACCTCGGCGCAAAATAAAGATACATTAACATCACGTAATAATGCTTAGTTATAATAGAAATATAAACTCACAAAAGGGAATGGACTTTGACTTAACGTAATGATAAATTAATCATAGAACACATGTAAAACGAAATTGACTTAACGTAATGCAATTTTGACCTCACATATTAAAGAAATGAAATTATAAAGAAACATTGTTTCACGTAATCAAGTTTTAACACAATGTAAACATATTTTCACTTCACATAATGAACTTTGGACTTCAAGTTATAAAGTGCTGACATAATGGAAGAATGTGTTTACTTCATGCAATGCAGCATTGACATGATTTAAAGATATTTTTACATCACCCCAAAAATTGACATAAGGTAAAGATATGTCCACATCACGTAATGATAGATTGACATAATGAATGCATAGTTTTATGCTATAAGGCAGTGATGGAGTTCCATAGGAGTAGTTATTGTCAGTATCTTAATAATTAAAGATACATGTAGGTTCAATTCAGTTGCACATATCTTTAAATCAATTATACCTATCTTTAAATCATGGCTTTTGTGCCTATCTTCAAATCAATTATACCTATTTTCAGATTGAATTAAAGATAGGTACAATTGAATTAAAGATCCTGTACAATTGAATTAAAGATATCTACAATTGAATTAAAGATAGGTTCAACTGAATTAAAGATAGGTGCAAATGATTTGAAGAAGGGTACACTTATTTGAAGATAGGTACAAATATTTGAATATATTTTAATTTGCGTTCCATACATATTTTCCTTATTAACGCTGTATAAACTTATTTCTTTTAAGGAATGACTCTAATTCTTGGCCATATTATCGAGTATAATCTGGTTTGGGTCAGTTTACGCTTTATAATCCGCGAAGCGGATTATAAAAAAGCGTAAACTGACCCAAACCAGATTATACTCGATAATATGGCCAAGAATTAAAGTCATTCCTTATAATTTAATTTTAAAATAATTAAACAACTTTTGATGTAAAATTATGTTGCTTTTTATAAGTTCAAATTTACCGCGCAATAATACAACCGTAGTAACGGAAGTGATTTGAAGCGAGGGGAGGTAATAACTGATACATAGATCTAGCAGCCATGATGTTTGTTTACATGAGGTAAGAACGAGTAATTGTTTAAAGTTGAAGGTACATTTATTAAATCTGGAATTTTCCATGGATTCCGAGGACTGGAAATGAGGGGATTGCATGGATATGATGATTAAGCTGGTCGTCAAGGGGGTGTGTCCCCATACCAAACCAGATTATACAAAATGTTATGCATTCCTTTTTGGAAATCAACCAATGAGAGGCGAGAATACAAATAAAATTAAATTATTTTATTGTAAAATGTTTTCTTCAATGAGTATGTTACATCATGTTAGAGATTACCACTTTTATAAAACATACATGTGTGTCTTTATTTATGTACATGAGTTATCTGTGTAGAGGTACATGTTGAATCAAAATTAATTTCGACGACGATTTGGGTGGCGTAAAATAGCAACAGTTGCCTCGGGTGTCCTGATAAACATTTTCTGTCCTCTTCTAGAAATATTTGACTTTCTCCATTTGACAAAGAAATGAACCATGGTATTAGACCTGGCCTCGGGCAGAGAAATGACAGCCCCGCCATTGTTTCTGATCTGTGAGATTATCCTCCTCATGTCCCCTCTCTGATAACCTGGACTGGTTTGACTGGAAGTAGACGAGGATGCTTGTAAGTTAAGGTTTCTACTTTCACTTCGTCTGCTCGAAGACCTGGAGCCACCATTCATCCAGAAATCATTCATATCCTCAAAGTAATCGAAATCATCTTCCATTGAGTCACTGCTGCTGGAATCGGACCCGCTGTCGTCCTTGTCTCCATCTTTGCTTTCGTCACTGGAATCAGAGCCTCGACTTGAACTATCACTGTCCGCGCTAGAATCAGAGCCCTTTCCTCCGCGTCTCCACCATCTTCCTCGTCTGCTTCCCCGGCGTCTTCCACCTCTCTCTTCACTGTCACTGTCTCCATCTCCATTTGAATCTTCGCCTGAATCTGACGTTCTTCGGCGACTGTAATACGACCTTCCTCCTCGTTCTTCACTATCGCTGTCGCCGTCGCCGTTTGAATCTTCACCGGAATTAGAATCTATTTCCTTGCTGTCGCTGTTTCCGTCACCATTTGAATCCTCCCCTGAGTCTCCGTCACCAATACGCAGACGACCGGAAGCTCCAATTTCTCGACTTTTGCTGTCCCTATCCCTTAGAGAACCTTCCATCTCTAACTCTTTATCATCAACTTCCCCTATGTCCAGTGTGTTATCCGAGTCGCCTCTTGCTGACAAGAGCGGATCAGGTAAACCATCGTCGATGACTTCTTTTACGCCTTCTACGACATTTTCAGCACCTTCTGCAATCATTTCTGCTCCTTTCTCCATACCCTCTGCAACATTTTCCACGGCGTTTGCTCCGGCTTCGGCGATGTTTTCTCCCACATTACCGACGGCTTCCACTACCTTTTCAGCTCCCTCTTGCACGTTTTCCACCACATTTCCCGCCACTTCCTGAGCACCTTCAACAACGTTACCGGCCACTTCTGCTGCCCCCTCTACAACATTTGTGTCACCTTCGGTAGCTATACTAGCAGCGACCATAGTCTGTGTATATCAAAAGAAAATTAGAAAGTTTAAAACACAGAATATACAGAACAGAAAATTAAAGGGAAAAAAGATTAAAAAATTTATAACAAAAAAGATGCTTTGGGTACAATATAATATATAAATACAAAAATGTGGTTTTAAAACATCACCAAGTATTTTTTTAAAATTATTATAGATGTAACGGTACATGTATCATACATAATGTAGATTTTTACTGTTTAAGAAATAGTAAACCGATCAATTAAAACAAAAAACTTGTATGCAGAGTTATGGTCTTAAAATCTCAGGAAAAATGTATTTGCCCTACCCAGACTATTGGACCTATGAGAATTTTTAGGAAATGAGAAATTTGCAGGACTGGTAAAGAAAAAAAGACATTGCGTAAATATTTAAGATATCGCGCCTTCCCAATTCCTCTGTTTTTACCTCCATCATATTATTTGAAGCTGATGCTTGAGCGGATCCTCCTGCTGTCACGGGCATTAATTCAGGGGAGGCAATCGTTGCTTCATTCTAAATAAATTACAAAGGCAAAATATTCTATTAAAACGTTCAAACACCATATCAAACGCTAAAAAATTATCTTTTGTAAATAATTTGCAATAACTAAATAGTTAATAAGTACAAGACAAAAAAGTGTTTAAATGTGCAAGTTTTATGCAAACTCAGAGATCAATACATATTTTAGAATAGACAGCTTTTTATGTCAAAATCTAAACATAACGAACATTCAGGGTAAAGGATTGGAGGGAAACGTTAGTTGGTCACTCAATAGTGCAATTATAATTCCCTGCCAAAACAAGACGATGTGCTAACATTTACTCCAAGACTCTTCCTCTAGCATTGTACCTCCGAATAAATACATGAATTTATATTGGCCTCCAACCAGTGCAGATCATCTGAAACGATACCTACTTACACGTGTATGTTATCAGTGTAGAGGTTATATATATCCATATACTGAAACAAACGCGCAAGGCCCTCCTGAGTGAGGTTTCTACACATTTATAGGGAAAGTCTCACCAATGATTTTGAAGAACGAGCGGAGTTTGACATGGAAGAAGTAACAAATGTAGGGGAAGATGACAGGGAACCGCTGTTTTGCTCAAAACTATTGAATCTTTTTGTTGTCTTCCTCATCGATGATCCACTTGACGACTGTTCTACAAAGTTGGATGTTGGCGCCCTTTCTCGCACTCTTATCACCGTAAAGTCGGATGCTCCAGAACGTGGCAGAAGTTCTTTGGCAGATGTAAACCTTGAGGAAAACTCGGACGTAGAAACAGTTTTTGATGTTGGGATCTCAATACCAGTCTTAATGGCAGAAGACATATCAGACAGCTGTCTAGCAGGCGTTGATGTCTCTACAAAAGCAGATCTGATGGGCTGTGCGTCACTATTTATTCTTCTAGTTGCCAGGTTTCTGCGAGAAGAAGATGATTGGGATGAAAACGACTCCGAAATCGAGGACTGAACAGGGTTTGTTCCTGATGACGTGACCACAGGTCTGCTTTGCATCGAATTTGTTTTGGTGGCAAACTTACTCAAAGAGGAAAATAGCGGAATGGTATCTGCAGAACTGGTTTTTGTTACAACTCTTCTTGATGTGGAGGTAACTCGAGGAGGTATTTTTACAGAAGAGGTACGAGTTGTTATGGTCCTAGATGTGATTTCAGGACTGGTCTTGGAGGTGACAACTCGCCGGGTACTGAAGGACCTTGGGGGGAGGGATCTGACTGTAACTTTTCTATTAGAGGTCGATGCCTGCGGTGCCGATTCCAGTGTCCGGGATGTGAGCTCCCCTGTCATCGCTCCCGCTACAGTGTTGAGCTTCAATTTGTCAGAACGTCTTTCTGTGTTCATGCTTATCCGATCATCAAATTTCCCTCTACCCTTTAAAGAAGTACCAAACGCAGACTTCCCAAAGTCATCTAGAGAATGTGTACTGGTGTACGTCTTCGTGACCACGGTTCTCGTGTAAGTGCCGTCTTTGTTGGTAGTAGAGGATGTCTTCGCTAGTCCGGGAATTTCGTTCATTATATCCATTGATAATGCATTGTTTAATGTATCAGTACCGCCATTAAAGTCCTTTGCTTTGGATGCAATCTGAGTTGATGGAATTATTAGAAAAATAGATAATGAAATTGTCTCAATAAAGCTTAATTGAGGATTTTGAATCGATAAGTTTTGAATGATAGAATGATACATTTTTGGGGACATGCATTAAATTCTTCTCATTTTGATGGATCAAGACTAAATTTTGTTAACTTACAAAATAATCAACATTATATAATAATATGCATGATTTTGTATTTGATAAATATTACCTTTAACTTGTATTTATTGTCTGGCATATTAGGTTTCCATATCGTCATACCAGACGTTGTTGCCAAGAACATACAAACAAACAATGATGCTGAATACATCCTGGGTTAATAACTGAAATGAAGTATGCATAATTATTTTTCATTAATTATTTCCTTATTATTGAATAACATCTAATGATTTTAATTTGTTACGACTTTGAAAGCTGAGGCTGAGGAAATCTGGATACAAACTGGTGTCTTTGACGGTCTTATTTTTCTATATCGGCACTGAGTTCGTCTAAGAACATAAAACATGCTAGCATGCACCGCTAGCCTACTATAAGACATGCTTTTGGTCTTATATCACTAATAAACACCGTTAACGACTTCGTGCTTCCTAACACTATTAATGTCAAATCGTTTACAGCCATTTTTGCTAAGTACAATAGTTCACAATAGTTCACTGGTTACTGTATCGGGCCTAAAGACCAAATTTTGATCTCCAAATCTTTAAGACGAGAGTCAAATTAAAAGTTTATTTTTTCGAAGGAAAGTGTAGATTGCCATGTTTTATTATGGTATACCTTAGCATTTCAAATACTTAAAAATGATCAAAATTTTTATGCCCTATTATCCCAAACTAGTTTTTAGCCAATATTGAAGAAAAGTTTCACAGAAATTAGATACCAGTGTAGAAGAAAAAAAAATTGTCAATCAGACATTGTTAAAGTCATTCTTGGTGTTCAATTCTGAACTTTCAGCAACGTTAAACAAAGACATATGTTAATTAATTGTGCATGATAGTTTCAGCAATAAACACCAAAATTACAGCATGCTTTTCGAAAGAACTCGCAAAATGCATGCTGTTTTTTTTACAACTTTTAAAAAGAATGATTAAAATTCATAGGTAAATGTTTTTGAATCAATGTTAAGTGAAATGTAAAAATCTTTCCCCCGTACTTAATTCAATATTTGAAAAGAAAGGATATCTACGTGTACAATAAAGGAGGGGATCTATAAGGACTGGTCGGTCAATCTGTCTGGTCTCCTAACCAACGTAGGGGTCACTACCGACACCATGTCTGATTGATGACAAGCAGATCAGATACATAGTGTATTATTGTCAGGAGTTGGACATTTGTGGTCAACTTTATAATCGGAAACAGGTTTGGGTATATTCAGGTTATTACTTACAATTCCAGTATTTATGCGTCTGTTCTGGAGATATTTATTTCCTTGAACTTTTGTCCATAAATGCTTGAGAACGATTGGTTCAGAGGATTTTTCTAGAATAGCAGAGAGGCGTCAGCAGCACCGAGACAGAAGTTCCGACATAAATAATATGTATATACATAAGTAAGATATCAAAATTACCTACGAGATTTATTAAACTTAAATACAGCAAATGGTTAAAAAAAATTAAAATATAATAAATCTTGACTTTTAAATGAATACTGGGTAAATATTATACAATTATTGCTGTGTTTTGAGGTCAATACAATGAATTAGCCATCTGAGGAGTACAATATTCACCGAGCCCGGAGGGCGAGGTGAATATTGTACTTCGAAGATGGCTAAATCATTGTATTGACCGAATAATTGTTTTATTATATGATTCACTAGTAAAATGATAAAACCCATTACTTGTTTGCATTTAATTAAGTCATATCCAAATACAATTAAGAGAGAAGCAGAATTGAAATGTTAATCAACCTTACAGGTCGTTTTTATTTTCTTTTTTTTTTTTAAGTTTTTTTTAATCAATTTTAGTTGCCATGAAAAAAAAAATTATGTCAGTCTTTTTTCTAGGATAGATTTTTAAAGGAAGGAGCATCATCAGGGAAAACTGACTGCCATAAAGTAAAAATTGTTGTTCAGTGAAAGTGTTGGAGGAGTGTCCCTGTATCCCCTCTTACCACCCTCCTCCGAAAATATACCGGTATATTCGTTATGTTTTCATCAAATGAAAAAAAAAATTATACTTGTTTAAATGGCTTTCCAAATCAATTTTTATCAATTTGGAATATCTCGATCTATTTTTAGATCAACGTAAAGGAAATAAATCCTTGTATTGACCTGGAACGTCACGTGCAGGTCAATACAACGTAGTATTTTTCTAACATAGTTGGATCTCAGCCAATCAGAGAGATGGAAATTATTCAATCATATAATAAAACAATATATACAGATTTCATATTACGTTGACGATTTTTCTTGGATAAAATAATCTTTAGGTATGTCGACATAAAAAGGGCACACGATATCGGCTAATTTTAGGGGACAATGCGGTCACGGGATTCCATGGCAACTTCACTCATTAAACCACAAAGACTGAACTAGACGTTCTTATGCATAAATGGCAGTTTTCAGAGTAAGAAAAGTAGGAAATGGCGTTTCATCAGACGGACAAAGATCCCTTTCCGTCAAATGAAAAAAAAAACTTTAAAAGAAAACACAAACTTTTATCCCCTTTTAATTAAAAATTAAAGTGATTTTTTAATTGAAATATTCTTTCACAAACAGATATTATTTTTAAAATATTTACTATACTGTCGTTTTGAGTTGATTTGAATTGATCCTTCTTCTTAGAATATTGTTCTGAAATGATTCAATAAGACGAGTTTTACTCCCACCCCAACCCTCAATTTGTTCTAGTTGATATGATCCATTCGGGTAAAGAGGATGGTGTGGGGAAACTGAGAGAAAAGAGAAAGGTTAAAAAGGCTCGTTGCGTACCCCCACATCGCACATAAAAGTAGAAAATAAAAAATGCTCATTATGAATTTGAACACAACATTTCGAAATATTCTGATCAAAACCCTTCATTTTAAATCCTATTTGGATATTCAATGTCAGTTTCTGTATATGAGACACCTTCATATTTTTTCTTTTACTACAAATTTTACTAGAACAAAAACTTAACTATGATTCAAATTTTATTTTAACCGTTCTGTATTCAAATGCATACATGAACAGGAAGATTTGAAGAAAACTCATTAAGCTATGTCTAGTAATTCCAGTTTCACCATCATGCAATTATTAAAAAGTACACGATCAATATTTTTACTTAAAATTCGTAAAAGCAAAAATAAAAGAAAGTAATCAGGTTTCTTTTTATTTTTTTTTGGGGGGGGGGGGGGGGGTATGCATATCACATTAGTTGTGTAGAGATCCTTCGACAATTGATTGGGGAGAGGTTGAAATATATAAAATTCATTAGAAGACGGTTAATTTTTTCAAAGAGATTTGCTCCTCAGCTTTAAGAATTTTTTTGTCTGAAAATTCTAAATCATATTTTAGTTCCAAAATGCTAAGTAATATACCAGGGTATATTCAATTAAAAACACCTATTATGAAATTCCATAAAATGAAAATTAAGAGATCGAGGAAATAAATTTTATGGTGGAATGTTTTCTAAAAGAAAAGAATCATTTTCTATATAAAAAAAATACTGTGCAGCTTAGAATCCCATGCAAACTATATTTACTCTGTATTTTGTGCAGCAATGTATTGTTTGTTGGTTCGAATTTCACAAATTAATTTTAATTAATTTATATGAATTCTATCATTGTATTGTGACAAACATGAAAGCCGTATCTTGTAAAATCCCAAAGAAAAGATGTTCTTCGAATTATCAAAGATTTTAATCATTGATCAACGATTTTTTTAATTTTCTTTATTAAATTTGTTACAATTCTAATCAGTCTACTGTATATTATGTAAAATCTTAAGATCTTTATTGCGTATTGTGCTATTTTTGTTAAACTGACTGTCAGAAAATGCATTGCATGAGTGCAGAAAGGTTACACATATGTAATTGAAAGTTTAAATCTCTGAATTATTCTAAAATATAAATGTAAAAGAAATGATTACGCTTTATAGTAAATGTAATCTCTAACTTTATTTCAATAATCCCTGTATCCATCCTTTGCATAAATTAAGATAAAATATATATTGTTGCCATAATCTAGAGAAGGGTAAAAATGCACTGCAAGAGACAAACTGACCACCATATTTTTGTTTTTAGTTTTAATTAAATGGTGTATTTAGATCTTTTAACAAATTACAAAAAAAAATTTTTTTTTACAATGTGAACTACCAGCTTTTATTTGAATTTTATTTAAAAAAATTAATTAATCAAATATTAAACTTTTTACAAACCTTGTAAGCTTAAGTGAAGAAAAGGGTCCCAAATAATCTAGCATCACCTTCCCCGCGGTCGCTGTTTATGTTAGTCGGTAGTTATGGGTTTATCTAACCTATTACGCCTCTACTAATTTGCCCATGTATCTGTCATTTTGGCCATACCACAACAATAAAAGATAAGTAACATATTGAATACGGGACTATACACGACAATCTGCCAATGACGAGAATAGCTTGATCGTAATTTTATGTAAATAACTATAAATTTTTCCGGCATTTTTTGAGTCATTTTCCTATTTTTGTTAAAGAAATAACGACTTACAAAAAAAGAATTGTCCTAAGTCGGTATGTTTATGTTCTTTACATGAAAAGTATGTAAATAAATGCTTCATAATATGACGAGGCGTTGTGAATATCATTGAAGGAACTTGGTGTTACATCATAATAAAAAGAACTCACAGGCAGACATTTCTTGCACAAAGGCAATGTTGAATTCCTTTAACCCCAAAAACAATATATTTTAAAGAAAACATTGTTAATTAATTATTTTTATACATCGAATTAGATGTCAATGACATCGCCTGAAAATGGCAAAATGAATATAAAAATCATTTACACATAAAACATGTTTTTATGGAGATTTGTTCTGTCATGCAGGGCCAGCAAAAGAGAGGGTAGCGTTCCACAGCTCATCAATCAGAGGGGGGGGGGGGGGGGGCTCTGGGGGATAGAAAAAAAGTTTTAGAAATAAAAGGGGTAGGATAGCGGCGAAAATTTTGACCAACATTAACAGTCATCAGGACAATGCGACAGAGGTCACTTGGTTAAACAAAAAAGGAACAGGGGATCCACCAATTTAATACAATCACCACTGCGGGAGTACTGCAAGTTGTAAAAGATCATTCTCAACGCAGTATACCTTC